GAAGTTGAGGTAGCTCACGGCAAGCTGGTGTGGTTGTGGTTGGTGTTGGTGTTTTGCCCGTGGCATAAGCACGACCAAGGCATCGAGCGGTATACAGCGGGAGGGGGGGGAGGGGGGCTTGAAGCAGTCCCTTCCCTTTTCGTCGCGTGTACTCTGGTCTATGCGCCGCGCTTCAAAATAAAAAATTCGGACTATTTGCACTCCAAAGGGATTCGAACCCACAACCCACAAGGTAACCAATTGACCCACTCAGCCCACCCCACCAGCGTGACCAAGCTGTTAAGCTGTGGTGATATCACCCACGGCTAGTGCACACCCTGATGGTTCCGACCGTAATACGGCAGCGTGGAACCCCCTCTGCGCCTACTCTTGTTCTCAGCGCCACGACCGGCCGAGAGCATGACAGCTAACAACTTGAACCTCAAAAATAATAAAAATAAATCTAAGAACTTGGCCATACGAACAAGGGCTTAGTCAAGAAGCCCACACTAACACCGTGGGGGTACAGTACAGTACTCCGTAGACAAAGTAAGAAACGAGCATCAGCCAAAACAAGAGGTTCTGAAGTGGCGGCGCGTTCGGATTTCACGAACAACCCGAGATGTCACCACGTAAGACACCTCTCGCATGTCTTTCCGTGGTACCACAAACGACAATAACCATGTACCGTACAAGGCAACAACATCAACTCGCCTGATCTCCGTTTGCCGGGTTCCACCGAACGCACGACACCGTGCGCTTGGTCTGGATGCCGTCGGTAGGCTGCAGGTACGCCCGAACCCCCGACTCGAGTGTGCGCTTCACTTGCTGGTTCTGCGCGAGGGAGCAGAATGGTGGGGGGCGTACTCTTATGTTTGCATGCCTTGAGCGGGTAGACCGTTACCCTCGCATCCCTACAACACCGGGACTGGAGCACGCCGGGGACTCACCGGGCCAGGCTAGCACACACCAAGCGTGAAGCGCCGGGAGGCACCGTAAGAGGCGAGAGATGTCACCCCCCCTGGAGCGACTTTCAAAGCTCAATTACTCCACAACCAAGCTTGTCTGTACCGTACCGTATACCGTACCGTGGTATTCCGTAAGAGTCGGAGAGATGGCACCCCCCCTGGAGCGACTTTCAAAGCTCGATTGCTCCACAACCAAGCTTGTGCCAACACCAAAAGCGGTGGTATTGGGAACATCTCGTCGAGGGGCTTTCCGTAGACGTATCGGGCTCTTTCCACACCCCCTTGGTTTGTGGAGCAATCAAGCTTTAAAGGCCGGTCTAGGGGGGGGTGACATATCTCCGCTTCTTACGGTATGTATGTGGAACAAGACTTATAGATGGCCGTAGCCCCCCCAGATCGTATACCCTCGCATGCCTGCATCGCCATCTCCGGGTTTCGCATACGGCTCAATTAAGTGGCTCAAGTCATGAACGAGCTCAAACGTTTCGAAGCATGAATAATTCCCGCCCTCGCCGGTACAGCAAGACCAAAACTGTGGGTGGCATTCTTGGCAGCCGTAGCTCTCGCATTTTCCTGGTAACCTCTGAATCTCAAGAAGAAGCGGATCCCCCGTATTATTTAGCAAAACCAGCCCTTTACGCCGCCGGAACAAAGAACGACAATTTCAAACAACAGTTTTCGCGTTCAAACAACGATGTTACGCCCTTTCCCGCCCGCAGGACGCAGTTTACATGCGCCTGGAAACCATGCACCTGGCAACTACACATGACCACCCACAAAAAACATGCACGAGTCGCGACGAACCTCGGGCAGGTAGCGGTCGAAGTCGTACACCGTGACGTTCTCGCCCCCAACGGCGAGCTGCCACCCCACGGAGTCGAACTCCATGCACGACACCCCGCCCGCGATCCTACCCTGCAGGCCCTGGCTGGCCGGGTGCCCCCTCACCACGCCGGAGCCCGTCCCTGAGTTGGACACGCAACCCATCCTCAGCCGTTGGGTCCTGAGCCCGCTCCCGAGCACCGTTGACAGCGCCTGCCGCCTGAAGGTGTCCCTGCCGGCGTCTCCGACCCCGACGCCACGGCAGCGTAGCCCCCCCGTCCGCTGCCGTTGGGACAGGAAGAGGGAGGGCGCTCCGCGCCTCCGGCGGCAGGGCCACGGTCCAACCTGCGCAGCAGCAGCAGCAGCAGCAGCAGCAGCAGCAGCAGCAGCAGCAGCAGCAGCACCTGAAGTTTCTCGTTCTTCCTCTGCTGCTGCTGCTGCTGTTGGTCTACCTGCCGGCGGGAGTCCTTCGGTCCCCTCGACCTCTTCGTCGGCTACGGCGCTTGAGTTAGCAAGTGTATCTTCCGCGCTTGCCGCTACACCGCCCACCGCCGCTGCTACAGCTGTCTCGGTCTCCTCGCCGACAGCCATCGCCTCGGGAAATAAGCCGCCTGTTGCTGCCGTCGCTCCTCCGTTCGCGGCCGCTGATCCCAACTGCGTAGCCCCCACTAAGAAGGCGGTATCCGACAACACGATTCCTGACTGCGCTGCCCCCAAGGAACCGGCGCCCGCCGTCGTGGTGGTTTGCTGGCCCCCTCCCGCATCCGATGATGCCGCATCCGATGCTGCTGCCGCCGCCGCCGCCCTTCTATCCGCCGCCGCCGCCGCTCTCGCCGCGATCTCTGTCCTCGCTGTCGGCTTGGCAACCGCTTGCGCTTCCTCTGCGAATGCTGTTGGTGTCAATACTGTGTTCAGCGCCGGTGGTTCGCGGCCTGAAAAATGAATTAACGTCAACAAAAAACAAACGTCGTCGAGTTGTGGGATTTCCGCAAACAAGAATCGGCGGTGGCATTGACTGGCACTCGTGGTACTCAATTACGACTAAGGAGACAAGAAAGTGTTCGATGGCCGGGGAAGATGCGTCGTCAGTCCGGGCTTTTGCACGGGTGCGGTCGGAACGCAGTACCAGTAGGCCAAACTGCTACTCAGCAGTAATAGGATTTCAAGCCAACATATGCTACGTACTGCTGATGGTTCTGGGAATCCAAAAAGACCGCTTTCCAACCATTCAAACAGAACCTTACCGTCGCCGTCATCGGCCGTGGCTCCAGCACGAGTTCCCCCGCCGCTTCCTCGCCCAGAGCTGCCATCGGACTCCCGCAACCCGCTCTCCTCTCCGCCCTCCCGCCTGCGGTCATCACCAGGACCCCGGCTGCCCCTTCCTTCGCAATCGCTCTCACCACCGCTGTCGAGATCGCTGGAGTCATCCTGCGACCGTGGTCTCGCGTACCGCCGCCCCTCGAGGGGTCGGGCATTCCGACGTGCCACACCCGTGGGAATAACCGCACCGTACGAAGATGATAACGGTTCGCGCCGAACGGGCAGCGTATTGGTCGACCGATACATAACCTTCCGCGGGAAGAACTCCTCCATGCGTCCCGACCGTGAAGGGGCCGCAGCCGCCGCTGGCTCACGCGCTCGCTCGGAGGCGTTTCGTGCAGAACGGGTGCCTCGGGGAGTTGCTCCTGCTCGTCCTGCCGTCACCGCTCCTGGTACCCTTGTTGTTGTTGCTGCTGCTGTAGCTGCTGCACCTGGCGTGTCTGCTGCTGCTGCTGCTGCTGCTGCTGCTCGTGCTCGTGGTGTCGCCGCTTCTGCTGACACCCTTGCTGCTGATGATGATGTTTCTGCTGCTGCGGCGGCGATGGCAGCGGCTGCTGCACCTGATGTTTCTGATGCTGATGCTGATGCTCCTGCTGCTGCTGCCGCTGCACCTGCTTTTCCTGTGTCTCCTGCCGCTGGTGGTGCTCCCGATACTTCTGGTGGTGGTGGCGGTGGTGCCGTTGCCACTGGCGTTGCCTGCACAGCATCAGCAGCAGCAGCAGCAGCAGCAGGAGCCCCGCCGCTACGCCGATCTTGTCGGCCGCTAGGCATGCCGTACCACCCCGCCCGTTCGGCGGCGGCGGCGGCAGCGGCGGCGAGACGCCGTTTCGACCTGATTCTCTCCGTGACAGTCTTGGGCTTCGAAGCGAGCTGCTGGCGCTCCGCTGCGCTTGATGATGACGAGGCGGCAGGGGCCCTGTTTTCATCCGGAACGGGCCGGTGCTGCCGTCGTCGGTCCAAATGATTAGAATGACCCCCCAGCAGCGAATTGTCCAACTGCCGTTTCTTGGAGGGCGGCCTCGCGAGTAATTGCTCTTTCAGGGCCGGAGAAAGGCCGGCAGGCTTCCTGCCGCTCGGCTCTTTGCCACGCAGCTGCTTGAGGGCCATCGGCTTGTGCTTCTTTGCTGCAGGCTGGGGCCCTGCTTCTCTTGCCGGTCCTCCTGCCGTTGCTCCTCCTTGTCTAGTTGTTGTTGTAGTGCTGCTCTCGCGTGCCCAGGATGAGCCATTTTCGTTGGAAGCTTCCGCGGCGGTGGACGTTGCGGCAACATCGTCACGTCTCGCGTTGCCTGCCGAGGTTTTCTTCCCGCCCTTTCGTGTCAGGAACCTGTCCATCTTCTACACTCTACAGCAGTGCAAGCGTCGCACGCCCTCTGCCCTCTGTCTGTCTGCCGTCGCTTGAGTTGAGTTGAGTTGCACAACCTAAGGTTTTTAAATTTTGTCGTGCCGCCTCGAGAACTACATGGAACACCGGTTATTGCCCCCACGCAGAGGAGCTCTGCAACCCCATCCTGGCGGGACATGTTGATACCTCACAGCGGTGCACAAGAGTGGCAGCGTCAGGAGCAGGGGGGGGGGGATGATGGCAACTCCAGCCAGACTTCTGTCCGCCTTTTCGTTGTGCCTTGCTGTGTGTGGCAAGCCTGTGGCAGCGTTTCTGCCTGGAAGCTGTCGGGTTTCCGGTGAGGTTCCGACCAGCGGCAACAGCAACTGCAGGGTGGGCACCCGACGCCAGCAGGCTTTCGCTCCACGCCAGTGGCCGCCTTTGAGAAGGCGAAGGGAGCCAAGATGGTGCCTGTCGGCAGCTGAGGATGATGAGGAGGATGAAGAACTGGAAGACGTGACCGGGAAAGGGGTGTATGTCGCAACCGAGGTGAGCGGCAGTGAACTGCAACATGCTACAGAGTACTGCCGTACGCACACGTTTTGCGCACACGTTTTGATTTGTGCCGTGTGCATGAACCGCCGTATCAACAGGCACACGCTTTGACTTTTTCCACCTACTTCTACTAAGTACTACCAGAGTTTGCCACCGAGTGCCGATCATGAGACATACATAAAAAACATGCTCGGAATGAACGTCGAAGGTCCTCTTTATGAAGGTGGTACGCGATGCCACATGTAGAGCAGAATTCCTACAACGAACGGATGATATTTGTGACGACGTCTTAGACTACAGCAGCCGCTGTAGCTAGAGCAGTACCAGGTACACTTAAACTTTAGCATGAAAGGAACATCGGCAGGGGGTTGATGCCCTCGGCTACTCCGCAGGACAGGGGTCAGTTTCTGGGATCGATCTCTTAATTCGAGGCGCCTTTGCTGCCTACCATTTCTGTGAAACGGTTATTATTGGTAACCTATGAACGGCCAAGCACCGATCCGTATGCCCGCTCTGCGTAGTGATTTTCCCGCAGCCTCTCGCGTGAATTTCGTTTGAATGCGAGCACCACGGACAACAGCGTCATATGCACAAGAAGCAACAACATCGACAACAGTGAGGCGTAGGACGTAACGCTGCGATCATGTCTTCCCCGCCCACACACTGCAGACACTATTGGACGATCCCAGCCACATGGAGCGAATACTGGCGGCCATGGCGGAGCTCGCGCCGCCGGTTGCGCCGTTGGAAGGTGTGTTCAAAACGGCCGTCAGCCACCACTGCGCCCTTCGCACGTCGAACATCGTGAGGGCGATGAAGTTCTACTCCCTGCTAGGCATGAATGAGGTACGTTTTTCCGTCGATGTTTTCTACTTGAATATACAGTCGAGGAACCCTTTTAGTGCCGGTTGAATAGTGCCAGATGCCCGGTATAGTGCCGGTAAAATCTCTGCACACAGGCGGAGCTCTCAATAGTGCCAGACCGGCACTAATTAAAGCATGCCCGATATAGTGCCGGTTCGGCACTGCTGTCACCCCCAATAGTGCCGGTACTCCGCACGCGCGAAACACACACACGCACAACCCAGGGCAGAAAACATAGACTCCACACACAGAAATAGGGTACACGTGCTGCTGCAGACCCGAACAGCTCTACACAGGGGCGTACCATGCCCTGTGCGGAAGGTGAACTGTGCCAACTACAGGACACCACGCCGCAAGACCCTCATGGTCACGGCTGCCAGGGAGGATGTGGCGGGCGACTGCACGGCATTTGCGGCAGTGTGGTTGATGTAGGCAACGAGAATCACCGCATCTGCAGCGCGTGCGCCGCCAAAGCCGGCAAGCGCAAAGTGTCAGCAGCAGACAGCACTGGGAAGGCACAATCTAAACGCCCGAAGGCCACGAATGGGGGGAGTAACAAGTCTCAGCCTCGTGCGCAGCCAGATTTCAGCGCCAAGTGTGAGATGCTGAAGCTGATGGAAGGTGACTCATGAGCAGATAGCAGATCGCTTCAAGTGCTCGGAAGGTTGGTCCGGGATGTGAAGAAGAACAGGAAGAAGTACGAGACCGAGGCTGCTGCAGGACGCGGAGGAAGCAAGAAAAACGTGCGCACAGGCAATAATCCGGAGGTGCGCTACTCTGCTGTTGTCTTTCAAAAAAATACGCGTAGTTCCCGCGCCTTCTTTGCCTTTTTTTTTTTGCCGGGCCTTGTTTGCAAAGAGTTTTCTTTTTTGCAAGGACCTTTTTCTGTAGCCTTGTTCGTCTATCTGATGTTCTTGTTCTTTTTTCTTCTTCTCTTGTCAAGTTGTTCCCTGTTCTCTGTTCCCTTCCCCCATTTTTCTTCTATTTCTCGACTGTTACAGTACTTGTTGAGCTTGTTCCCTCTCGTCGTTCGTTTGTGTCTTTTTTTGTGTTACCTTTTTTTTCAACTTTCTTCGTTGTTTTATCGTTCGTGCGCTGCTGCGCCAGCATATAAACTGCGAACCAAAAATGTGTAATTGTATTGTACTGTACTGGTACATTACATCACACGCACACCTATTCTTTCAAACGAGTTACAATACATAAATACACATGCGGATGCAGCGGCGAGCTTCTGTGGTTTTTCAAATGCCCGGAAATGTTTCCTTCCCACTACGATGCACTGTGCAACGAGGCTTAATGTTCGAAACTAATCGTGCTATCTTTTGTACCCTCTTTATTGTTTACTCCTCGTTTGACGGTCAATAGGTGGACGCCATAGCTCTTGACCTACTAGAGAAAGCCCGGAAGACCAAGATGCCCGTCACGCGCGACGTCCTTCGAAGCTTCGGCCGTGCCGCCAGGGCAACCCTGCTGGCTGATCCAGCAGCTTCTAAGGAAGTGAAGGCGAGGGTCGAGGATTTCAAGGCCGGCGAAAGGTGGGCCAGGAACTTCGTGAAGCGCAACAGCATCGACAGCGTGAGACTTCATGGCGAGGCTGGTAGCGTCAACAGGGAGGCCATCAAGGAAGCCATGGAGGAACTCAAGGCCCTTTGCGCAAAGTACCCGGCTAGGCTCATCTTTAACGTCGACGAGACAGGCCTCCAGTGGAAGCTCATGCCCAGGCGCACGTACCTCTCCAACTTGGAGGATCGGAAGACGGCGCGGGGCTCCAAGGGCATGTTCTTCAAGGATCGACTGTCTGCCATCATGTGCGCCAATGCCGACGGCACTGCGAAGGTTGACATGTCCATCATCGGGAAGGCAAAGGGTCCCCGCTGCTTCAACGACACGCCTTCACCTCTCAAGTACTTCTCGCAGGCCAACGCCTGGTCCGACACCGCGACTTTCCGCAAGTGGTGGTGTGAGGTCTTCCTCCCGTTCGTTCGGCGCTTCACTCACGAACCTGTGCTGCTTCTGATGGACGGCTGTGCTTCTCACGGTGATCTAGTGGATGATCGGGGGCAAGTTACCATCAAGTTCTACCCTCCAAACTGCACCTCCGTACACCAGCCTATGGATCTGGGGATCATCGCCAAGACGAAGTGCAACTACAGGAAGGAGCTGCTCGATGTGAAGACATCGACCATGTTGGTGGCTGACACCCTTCGTGCCGAGGCCAAAGCTCGCAAAATGAAGGCCGGGACAATGGGGCTGGCGCAAGGGCACCAACCTCACGTGCGGGATGCCGCTGAACTTCTCCAGAAAGCATGGGCCAGCGTCACCGCCCAGGACATCGCCAGGTGAGGTTTGAGCATGTGCAATCGCTGTTTATAATGTAAACTGTTCAACTCGCGCCTTGGTGCACATAGCTTTGGTGGTACAAAGGTAACGTGGGTAAGGTTGTACGGATAGATTATATTGTTTTCGACTGAGTTTTCCAACATCCGAATACATATCTTCTTTGCTTTTCGCAAAAACTTGAATCCTCCCCCGCCTATGAGTCTTTGATCGTCCCTGGGTTCATCTAACATCCGCTTGTTGTCCACCCACAAACGTATGCATGACATTTTCTGCGCTACCTGGGATCAGGTGCTTTGTCAAAGCCGAGACTCTTCCGGACGAGATGGCCGCTGAGCTCACCAAGCAACACGGAAAGTCCCAGTTCCACGTCGCCGAGCCTACCTTGAAGGCTCTCACGGAGACTCTCAACACGTTGAGCACGAGCGTGCACGAGGCGCACAAGCAGGGTACCCAAATCGAGGACGAGGACATCGCCGAACTCATCGCCGAACTCCGCATCGAACCCGGAAAGCCGCTCCTGGAGGAAGCGGTGAACGCGATTCAAGGGTGGGCTACCATCGAGGACGACGATGAAGTGGTTGAGGCTCTCAGAGAGGATACGGTGGAAGACATGACGGCACAGCTGGCTGGGACTCGAGTGTCTACCGGCCGCGAGGAGGAGGACGACGAGGAGGACAGCGGCGATGACAACACGGGGCTCGCGCGCCGTGTCCCACCGGCTTATGGTGAACTGTCGTCTCACTTCGGCGTCCTGGAAGCGGCAGCAGAGGAGAGCGGCAATGGAGACGCGGCGCTCTACCTAGCGAAAGCGAAGATGGCGATGATTGCAGCGCATTCCAAGAGGCGGGTGCGCCAGGCAGACATGAGGGAGTTTGTTGCTACGGAGTAAGGGCGGGGAACAGCTGTGGCACTAAAAAAACGGTTGTTTGATTTTTGCGGTGCGCTGCCCGTCGTGCATGTCATTTTTTTTTGTTCTTGCAACATGGAAGCGGGTGCGCTAGGCAAAAAGGAGAGAATTTGTCCCGACGTACAGTAGTGAGGGCAGGGGTTACAGCTGTGGTAACGGTTGTTTGATTTTTTGCGGTGCGCTGCCTGTCGTGCTTGTCGTTTTTTTTTTCTTGCAACATCGAAGCGGGTGCGCCAGGCAAACAGGAGAGAAATTGTCCCGACGACAGTACACAAATAAGCAAATAAGTGAGGTGCAGAAGAAAATGAAGAACCAAAGAGCGCCCCAAGACAACAAAAAGAAAACTCAACTCCCACGCCCATGCTGGAACTTCACTCAACAGTACAGTAATAGTGTCGATCCATTTCGTTCTTTGTTGGCCCCGTAAGCGTGGGCGCTACACCATAAATCGAACACAACCTCATTAGTGCCGGTATGAGGGATTGGCCAGCCCTCAATAGTGCCGTTTTGGCACTATTCGCAATAGTGCCGGGTGCCCGATTTAGTGCCGGTGAACGCTCTGTGCACGTACCGGCACTAAAAGGGTCCCTCGACTGTATGTAGCCCTATCATGGTTCGGGCTTGTGGTCGCGTGCCGTACGACGTTGTATCGCACGCCGTCGGTGGGGGTGGGGGTGGGGGTGGGGGGGCGGTGCAGGTGTTCTCCCTACCCCGTCGAGAAACAAGTTCGATTTGTTTATTTTTTCTTCTGTCATCGATGTGCAGCTCAATGAAGTGGAGCCGGGTCTTTGGTGCTCCTCGCCAAGGCCGTCGTGGGACCTGTGTATGACACGGACCATGCCGCACCCCGGTCGCTATCGTCGTCGTGCTCCGACTCACAATACCGACAACCTCACCCCACCATACGTCCAATCGTCTCGCTGTTATCATCCACACCCACCAAGCTTCTTGCAATTAAGTCGTCTTTCTGCTGCTGTCGATACCGAACGCGCGATGATTGCTCTTCTAACGCGGACCAGGCGGCACGGTTCAGGGCGGGGAACGCGAGATGCGCATTTTTGGAGGGTGCGGGCATGCGGCTAGAGCTGATCGAGGTATGTCTAAGCACCGTGTGGTCTTCGTTGACGCCTTTGCCTTCTCTTGGCGGGAGTTCTATGACCCTTCCTTTCGAGTCCCTTCGCCCGGGCGCCCCTTTGTCAGAACGTGCGTGTTCTGTTTTTGTTCGTTTGGGGGGCGCCTTCCTTGAATAGTCATTGGTACAACACCGACTGTCTTCAAGCAGGCTGGGGGCAAACGATCCTGGTATACAAAGACTCGTACACGGAACGCCCGGAAAGTATACAACAGTGAATGACATGGTCGACGCGGGTTTGTCAGGGGCAAGGAAGGGGTGGCAGCAGCCTACCGCTGTACCCACAGGTAACGGGCAGGGTAGGGACAGAAACGTTCGGGGGAATATACAAACCCAACAAATCCCGTAGATTGCGAGCAGCAGACGTGAGGGCCAAAGAAACGCGACAAGACTCTTCCCAACGCGCCCCAGCCTAACCCAATATGTTCAATAGAGGCAACCCTAACGTACGAATCCGACCCCTCCGTCACTCTTGCGGAGGCGAATGCCCCAGTCAACTCCCCCTGCAAGCACTGTCCAACCTATCTCAGAGTGATATCTCACCATTTGCCTCGTCAATTTCCGGCGTCTAGAGATCCGACCTAACCCTACCACGTCCGTGTTCTCACGAAAGGTGCCCGCGGTGTTGGAGCCCGATGACAAGGCCTTGGACCTCGCGGCCGACATGAGGACGACGGGCCTCAACCACATGGCCTTCGACGTTGGGCCGGCTATCGAGGCGGAGGGTCTCGACGGCATGAAGGGGTTCTTGTCGGAGTTGAATCGGCAGGTGACGTCAGCAGCCATCTAAATAGATGAGCGATTAAATAGGTTAGCACCCGCGACTAAGAAACAAACCTTTTCAGAAACAAAGGCTCAGAGATTGGCGATAAATAAGAAAAACCGACAAAGAAACACACCTCAGCCGTGGATCCTACACTAAAACTCTATATTATGAAGTACCTATGCTCGATGGTGGTTACGAAATAGAAAATTGAAATTGAGCCTCGACCCCCAACTGCGGTTTTGTAAACGCGGGCGCTAGCTGAGAACGCTACTGGGTGAGAGAGGAAGGGGCGGCCGCACTGGCGTTGAAACGACGAAATTTCTGCGGGAACGAGTTGTTCTTACCGCTTCGATCTCACCAGCCGATCGAATGGTACGACGAGTCGCGAATGACGAGATGCATCACATCGAGCGAGCAATATCTACCCCCGTGGACATCCGTATGTTTTCCTGGTGGGACGATCAAAGCGTTAGATTTCATGGTACGTGGCGACGGCAGGCCCGAGAGATCGAGCGTGTGGTAATGTTGATATGTGGAAAACTTGCCTGATCATCCAACGCTCCCTCCCGTCTCTTTCCTGGAACGCCTTTGGTCATCGCTGAACAACAACGACTCCCCTTCATTGCAGAGCGAGGACGCTTTCGGCATGAGTGTGCGACTGGTCGTCAGTCCGTACGAGCAGGTCAGTTCCGAACCAACCTCCGAACCAGCTTCCGAACAACCGTACTCTCGCTACACCGAGCGCACGGCGCATGCTACAATCTGCGTCAGAATGAATAGCGTTCCCAATACCGCATCCCTCTATGCAACATCAGTAGCAGTGGACGCCTTCGATCTAAGAAACAACCCGGGCTTGTCGTTGTGTGCGACAATGTACCCACAGGGGAGATATCACTGTGTGCTGCTCGGGAAATCGTGGAAATACAGGTAGCCTCCGCTGACGCTATGGATTCATTGCTAGTCTATCTTTAGACTCTTTTCTATTGATAGAGATGGATTCGTTGGGCCATATTGCAAAAAAATAAAATATAGGTGGTGAGGGAAGGAACCGTTGCGCTGCGCCAGCGGCACGAAGTCTGTGTTTTTCACCAGATTGCTTACGTATACCTATTAAAATAAGCGCGCATGTTGTCGCTTGAACATGGCTCTCCCTCTCGTGCCTCGCTTCGCTTGTTGTTGTGCACAGCGGATTGGCCAGGATATTTTCGATCTAGCGTTCGTGATGGACGCCGACGGGGTGCTTTTGGAGCTGGTGCATAAGAAGGACACCCTCGACATCGACATGCCTCAGGCTTGGTGACGTACCTACCTGGCGCCGCCCCAGCAACCGTAGCCCTGACGTTGGGTCGTGATTTGGCGTATTGTACCCCCTCCGCCCCGCCCCAATGGGACATGTTGTGGCATCCATCCCCCCTCGCTCTACAGCGAGTGAACCAAGGGTTCGAAGCCACACCCGGAGGGGAAGCTCTTTGGGCGGCGGAGGGAGACTCCTGACGATAGAGTTTGACGTTTTAAAGGTGACCGCACCGAGAGCGGTGTGGAGTCGATCGATGACGCAGTGACGCACTCCCGGTCGACGTCTTGGGGAGACGCGAGCAGATCAAAGACCTAGAAATCATGACAGGGTTGCGCAGAATAGGAGGTTTGTAAGTGTGGGCGCACGCTGCTGTAGGCCGAGTGCTTGTTTGAACGCACACGCTGAGGGAAGGAAGCGGCTAGACAGTATGCTGTGTATGCCGAAAAATGAGGGCATGCAGCCATGCAACGCTGAGGAATCAGGCGCGGCAGGTGCAGTGAATGTGGTTGTCGTTTTTGCTGCTGCTGTTTTGCTGGAACTACATACGTGGAAGGCGTTCGGGTCGGGAGGGTTTGTTCTAGAGCTTTCCTCTCCCTGCTCTCGCGAAGCTTGCCTACCATTCCACGGCAACAGCGCACGCTGTCAGGTTGCACACTCTGTTGAAGGGTATTTCGAAACATTTTTTTTCTTTTGGCTACTTCTGAAAAGTACATACAAAGAGCGCCGGCGTGATCATCCGCCGGGAAGGGATGTCGCAATGACAGTGCGTACGGTTGCGGACTTCAGGAGGGATACCAAATACACGACGATCGTGTCGTACGTATTCCGCTAGTTTTTGAAATCGCCCTCCTAGGGGGCAGTAGTCTCTCAAATGGCCACAGACAGCAGTTAGTGCTAAAAATACCTCCATCACCCAATAGCAGACTTGTTACGTGCAGAAGACGAGTAAGCGGTCTGTGGTGACCTTGGCAGGCTTTGGGGGGGAGGTTGTAACCGCTGCCCGAAGATTCTGCTTTTGGGCATTGACGTTTCTGCGTCAGGGTTTTCGTGGCGGTTTCAACAAACGCTACCGTTGGCGTTCCCGTCAAGAGGGGTGGGTTGTGCGCAAGACTTGCATACAACGCCGTTGGTTGCACAGCTTTTGTGATCATTTTCCCGGTCGCAACCTGTTGTAGATAAGAGTCCGTTTCGTCCCTTCACCCCCTCGCTGTTTTTTCGATTTTTTTCGGCTAGGACGAAAATCGAACGAGAGGACAAGTGACGTGGGTTAGCGGCGAAATAGGCCAGAGAGTGGTGCCCTTTGTTGAGAAATCTCGGACATGCACGAAGTCTTGGTTGGGTGTTTCGGGCGAGAAGCCGCTTCGCTGGTGTGTTGGCAAAATAGAAAGAATGGGAGGGCAACAAGATTTCTCTTTTGTGTTTGGTTGAAAGAAGACCAAAGGTGAGTGTGTAGCTCTACGCCTTGGTCAGTCTAGCCAGGACGATTGTTTACTGGTATGGATGTTAGAAAGTGTACGATAATGTTATTCGGTTCGTGTTTTTGGTATGAACATGGCGTTTCCGTTGACTCACAAATGCAGAGGCTACAGAGTCTCCGACCGCTTCACACTGGACACCGTTCGGGTAAGGGGTTTGCCGAGCCAGTCTCTCACGGGAATGGCGTCATGTGCGCTGGAGGGTGCCAGACACAAAAACATTGCCGGGCTCTATGTTGAGGCTACCACTTGCTCCAGTGGTTGTTGGGGCTACGAGTTGAGAGTTGAGCTCCAAGGGGTGTGGGTGCTGAGAGTTAGGAGGTTGGCAACGCAGCTTGCCTCAGACAACGGTGCTAGTCCTCCAAGAGATTCTCGTGTTGAGGGTACCACTAGCCCCAGGGGTAGTGGGGACTAAGAGCTAAGAGATGTCCGGGATGAAGGGTATGCTGGCCCTTCCGACGCGCTGTTGTCTCCGGCGTATGAGGCTGCTTTGTCGACACGTTTCAAGAACGACAACGCATGTTTGGAGGGAGGCTCAACGCAAAGAGGGCTAAGGCCGATGGTAAAAGAGACTTGTCAAGATAACTGCTACGTGACGAAGTTTGGTTAGGAAAACCCGTCGCCACACGAGGCCTCGCCAAGTTCAACGCTAAGTGATGATACACACCGAGCAAGATAACATGTTGGAAATGTTCCCCCGTTACTGAGAGAGGTCTCAGCGCCAGTAGGGCGCGACATCCTTCAGGCGAGCTTCTCAGGCTACGACCGGAGGCCTTCACCAAGTAAAGGAAGATGCACGGTTACCCACCTCAGGTGGAGGAATATAACTACGATTTGAAACGTTTTCCTTTACACGGGCAGGTAACGGGTGATTTGGTGCCGTGCATCGTGTGACTACTTGATGTACTTCTATTGCAACATAACGAATGCGGCGGCCATGGCCCTAGCTGCGAAGAGGCCGTCCCCCGTTCGGTTCTGCCTTTCCCGGGCCCGGATCTCGCTCGCCATCGTGTTGCTCGTCGGCCCGCTGCTTCTGCTCTGGCCCCCAAGGGCACGGTTTGTGTTGCCGCCGCGAAGGCTAAGGCTTCTGAATGACCTGAGGCTGCCTTCTTTGTTGTTGGCAGCTCGTTCCCCAATCGGTGTTGGTCTTCTCGCTCTCTGCCGAGGAGTGCCCCGAGACCCCTTCCGTCGATCGCGATGGATGACAACGCTGGCGGTAGCGTTGCTTCTCCGTCGTGTGACAATTTCGGCAGCGCCTTCCTCAGCCGGGTTTGTCCTAGCCAGGCTCTCGCGCGATTTGGCGTTGCTGTCTCCGACTATCACGTCGTTTTCTGGAGGATTTTTGCCTTTCCTCCTTTGGCGGCTAGCGGACCGGGACAGCTGCCTGCACGTGTGGAACAGACCATGACCGACGTCGAAAGAATCATCATAAGCCCTTCCAGCACTAGCGCTAACCGTGGACTCCACGGCAGACTTTTTCGTAGTCAGCACCGTATCGTCACCGAGGCTAGCGTCATCGCTTCCCGAGAGAGGTGCCCTAAAACGGCTCAAATGTCCGGAGAGTTCTAGACCTCCTTTTCTTCTGCTGCAAATTTGGTCGTTCTTGGCCACCGAAAACAATGGAGCAGCATCCACCACACCAAAGCCGAAGGCTGTGTCTCCGCTACTGCGCGACGGTTGTTCTGTGGCCGCACATGAGGGTGTAGTGATTCTGGTTTCGATTTCACCCCCGTGCGGGGAGGGTACCGAAAACCGCGACGGGGGCGAGCGTGCATCTCCAACAAGCTGAAAGCTGTCTTGCTCTCTTGTCGCAGTCGAATCGCGCCCTCCGGAGCCGCAAAGAAAACACGCCACGAGCTCATGCCGCTCGCAAGGGTGGTTGCTTGAGCCCCGGGCTCTGCGTATTCCATCGCCGTCGCCTACGCCCGGTACTCTGGTGTTGGTTACAGCCCCATCGCCGCCGCCGCCCCCGTCCCAATCTTTGCTGGTGGAGTATCTCAACACGGGAAGCGAATTCGACCGCCCAAGGACACCTTGGCGGGCAAAGCCTTCCCGCCCCCCACCCAAGGTCGGCGATTCCCCCCCGCCTAATGCCGTAGGGGACTTCCGACCATACGACACGGTCGGCGAGAGCATCTTGCACAAGATGCAGTTGGAAAGAAGATGTCGGTCACAGGGACCGCCGCTGCTACTGGTTCGCGCTGGTGCCCGTTTGCCGGATGTCACATGCGTGGGGACTGGATTTCGTTGGGGAGGCTTCCAGGTACTTGTGTTGTTGTAATCGCTGTCACTGCCGTTATCCGCTCCGGCAAACATATTCCTAGACGGGCTCACAACGGATTGTGCCGCAGATAATGGGTGCGGGCCTTTTCGGAATGTGTTGCTGCTGTCAACGTCCGGCATGATGGTGTTGGAAAACGAAGCTGCAGCAGTGGCCAACGACTTTGACGCCGTCGGTAGCACGGACCCGAGACACGAGCCGGGCGGCCCATCTCCGAGAAAGCTACTCGTACGACTACCGCAGAGCTTGCACCCGACAATACCGTGCCGCTCACAGTCGCTCCGTCCACGACTACCACCGTTCCCACTACCGCCCCTTTCTTGGACGTTTGCGGCGTCGACTGGTGCCGGAACGTCCGTGCCCGCAGCTGCTGGCGACGGTGTAGACGACGCCAACGACGCCACAATTGAAGCCTCCGTGGTAGATAGCCTTGGATTCGTACGTGTTGATGGCCTGGGTCCTGCTCCCGTGGACGACCCAGAGGTTAGTGTGTTCCAAATCACGTTCGTGTCGGTGGTGCTCGGAGAGGGCACCTCGGCCTCCAGCTTCGAGGCATTTCCCGTCTTTGAGTCCGCCGCCGCTCGCGCCGAAAATGGCTCTCGTCGTAGCGATGACGGAGGGGTTCCATGCGCGCAGTTCTTCCCTTGCGCGGGGTGTTCGACTGGCTCCCTCGCCGGCGGCCGAAGCAAGGACTTATTTTCTGATCCCGCTAGACTTGAGCACGGGGACACCGAGGGCGTATTTTTTTCTCGAGGCGGATGCTCATTATGGCGGTCTCTGCCTTCACAGCAACGATCCTTCTCCGTGTTACCGTTGAAGCCCTCGGGCGCCACCGCGCGTCCGACTCCGCTGGCGCCGGGTGCAACGTACGCTCCGTGAGCCCTATCCCCCGTGCTCGGGTCGCTCAACGCCGTCAACGGAACCACTTTCGGGCTCGGGGCGAGATGTTGGATGGGGGACACAGCACGGTTGCGACGACTGCAAGCGGTATTGGTACCATCGAAATCTCCACTTCGCTTTTGCGTGTGTTGTGGTTTCTCACCAGCACGACTGGTTCCCGCCGTCGCTGTTGACGTCTCCAGGCTCTTGCACCTGGCCTTCCAGGTCTCTAGCTCGCGCAGGAGCTCGTCTTCCCTGCAAGAAAACCTCTCAATCAACGCCGCCGTGGCTAGCCGCTTGTCGTCGACGTGCCTCCTCCCGCCCCCCCCCGCTGTTGTCCCCGCCACCGTCGAAACCGCGCACGAGCGCTTCTTATTAACCCTCGCCAACCCGCCGGAAGAAACAGGGGAACGGGGAGAACAGGAAACGACCGGCTTGTCGCCGGCTTTCGTCAAGAAGGAACCATCAACATGTCTATGTGGCGCTTTACGCCGTTCTGTTCCCTTCGGCAAGGCTTGCGACGCTTCAACTCGACCGTCTGGGGACTTGCCATGGCGCAGATGCTTGCTTCGATTGCGAGCTGAAGCGGCAACCGCCTCAGCGACGGCGGCGGCAGCAGTAGCGGTGGCCGCGGCGGCAGCGGCGGCGGTGGCTATCCGGCCACGGACCACGAGGTCTCCACCCCGTCTTGCGTTCAGGAGCGCTTTGGTTTTGGCTTGATGCCCCTCCAGATCATCGCTCGTTTTCTCGTTTGCTGCGGTGGTGCTGACAGGCGTGAACCCTGATCGCCGCCGCCGACTGTGACTTTCTGTCGCAGCAACCGGCGCCGCCTGCACACGTTTCCCTCTCAGCAACGAAACCTCGCTCCTCGACAGCTGTCTCTGGGACGTCGACAAGGACGACCCTGTCAACGGCCCCGATGGGCCAAGAGCTATGTGCCCATCACGTTGCCGGCTCTCATCGTCAAGAGTCTCCCGTTTAGGCTCAGATCTCGTCACCGCTTCCATTTTCAGAACCGACGACACAACGTTGACGGCCGAATTTCTTCGCCTTCGGTCGCCCTCGTCGCTAACGTAGGTGCCACCAACTCCTTGTGGTTCTGGTCTAGCCGCGTCGCTGCCGTCACGTCCGGAAGCGGAAACTCGGCCACCATTCTCGTCGCGGGCCACAACATCTCTACCATGGGCAACGTCAACCATCTGCGCTGCCAGACCCAAGGAGAGAGCCTGCTTCGCCACGGTCTTTTGTACGGCCGGAGGGGTGGGTTCGCGCCTGTGGTCGGGCTTGCCGTCGTACTCCCGGACAGCATCATCGTCCGTCCCATCTGCGCACCCGTCGTCGTCGTGGTTCTCTCCGTCGCCGCCCGGGCAGGGAGGGGGGCGGCGAGGCGTCTCCACCACACCAGGCGACGGTCTTGCCATCCCCCACAGCTCCGGCAGTTGCTTACCCTCATCTGGGCCGTTATGAGGGTGGGAAGGCGCGGGTGAGCAGGAAGCGACAGCGGCGGCCGTTTCCGCCTCCGCTAGCCGTCGACGCAGTGTTGTAATCTGCCGCCTCGCTCTTTCCAGGAGAAGGGCGTCGCTGACCACTTCGTTCACGCGCTGCCTCGAAACGACCCTCATGCAGCGCGCCGCAAAGTTCAGCGTACTGATGCTCTCGTCCTGCGCAAAGCAATCGTGGGAGGGAAGGGGAAGGGTTGAGTCAAGATTCTTGAGGCTCGTCTCCGAACGGCCGTGCACCCATGTTGTCCAGCGCGACAGTCCTGGCTGCCGACCCGACAGTGCCTGACCCAGCTCAACGGCGTTGTGTGTTCCCAATTTTCCAGATGCTTCGCTCAATGGACAGGGCAAATTCGAAACAATGAAGGCTCGTTTTCGCGTGATGCCATCGTCGTACAGGGCGTCGGAAAATCTCTTTCCGCGTATGGTTTTGATCTTTTAGGTTCATCGGCAACAAGCGTTTTGAACTTGCGTTGGGCGACCACAGCGGCTGGTTTTCTTTATCTTGATCGTGACCTACGCATGTCGTGGACGTGCTTCGTTTTTGGTGAGATGAAAAGCTCAACAAGGTTTCACAACGACTACAACGTTCTTCGCCATTCCTATTTACCTGGGCGTCGATTGAAGGGCGGATCGTGGCAATGACGACCGTTTTTCCTCCCACAAGCGAGTCCTGGAGAAGCCTGGCAGAGTTGGCGATGGAGAGGAAAGGTGGGAGTATGGATCTAACAAAGATCCCAGACCAACCCCATAGCTGCGTTTTCTTCTTCTTGTAGGTCAGCGTTCAAGCTCACTCCGGCCCCATTGGAAAAAAAAACAGAACAGCAGCAACAATAGCAACGAAAATCACACCTGTGGGTCTGACAGGGGTATGAACGAACGTTACAAGCAGTGAACTACATTCGCCTCTAACCTTCATGTTCTTCCCCTTCTCAGACATTCCAAAGCTGATGTAAGCGTGTGGTAAAGAAATTCCACGGTGCAGGTGTAGGCGGAGCGCATGGATCTGTCCTTCCGAACGAGATCCTTCGGGGGTATCCTGCCAGGATACGAGGTCAACACCTGTGGAATGATGCCCCCATTGCTGTCTGATACCCCCCTAAACCTTGTGACACTCCAGGCGCAGCTCGTTGCTGGCAGACGCATATTGCTCGTTTACAAAGAAGCCCTCGACACTCCAGTCATAAGTTTGCTTCTGGCACTCCCCACCTTTCACAACCCAAAGCATTGAACAGACCTCCCCCCTCACTCACCTCGTCAAAGGGCTATCCCGGAAGGGGACGTGCGTTCTTCGTGCCTCTCCCAGGCACGCAATGCAGTTCGAAAGAGCGCTCAAGCTCGAGTTGATCCTCGATCGCTCCCTCTCCTGAGCCTTCCAGCTGCTTTCGCCTTGGGGTTGCGATGGCACCCCTTGCGGCCCCAACCCGCCTTGCAACTGCGGTCCGCGTTGCGGTTGGGATCCGCTCGTCTCTTTGCGTCCTCCCGCCACCCCTGTCTCCGTCCCTGCCCCCCCCTTTTCACTGCCCGCTAGATCCACTAGGCTTAGCTTGGCTCGCGTTGTCACGACAGCGTTGCCGGAGTCCGTTTCGGACCGGTGTTCCGGCATCATCATCACGCCAGTGCTATGGTCCCTTCGGCTGTCGCTGCCGTGAGGGCTACTGGTGTGGTCGTGCTTGCCGTGGGCAATTTCGCCGACAGTGCCATCGCCGTCTCCGATGCTGATTTCCCCGGGATGTAGTAAGACTGTCCTGATCTGGTCTGTTGTGGCTTGAGACTCGTCGGCGGCTACCACACCAACTTCGCTGCTATCTCCCCCACTTGATAGGTGTGGGGCAGGACCCACCCCAGGTTCAGCTGTAGATCGAGTGCTGGTGATGGTGAACTGGACAATGGTGTGGCTGCGACTGCTGTGTGTGTTCATCTGCATCGAAAGGGGAGACCGAATGTAGTTCAGGAGCAATTTGGTATTGAAAGCGCAAATAGGCGTTCCCAGGCAAAGGTAAACAGCACAGTCGAATACCGGTCGCTTCTTGCCTTTTTTCCCATCCGTGACGTGTGCAACCATGTCACGTGATTTGAATGGCCACTACAAAAATATACGTGTTTTACTGCCCGTGAAATGTTTCCCGGCTATTGTGACATGGACGCAGACCTCAGAGCATGCGGAGGAAACTGCAATATGGGAAGACGCATTCAACGGGTATAGTGTACGGCACAAAGCGTCTTGCTCGGCGTGCAGGTTGCGGCATGCACTCTGTCAAACCAACACATGCGGTTCAACATAGCACCTACAACACCTCGTCTCCCGTATCATCCCCCACGCACCTCGGTGGATCTGACTCGACGGTTTCGATCTCCCTGCCGGAGGAGCTCCATGACCTGTTCGACGTTTTTCACCGGGTGAACCGACAGCCCCACGACCCGGCTACCACTTGAGCTACACTCACGGGGCAACGAAGAAGAACCGTAGCTCCTTATCCCCGCTGCTGCTGTAGAGTTTGCGTTGCTTTTCCTCTCAGCGTCGTGCACCCCCCCGCTATCGCTTTCCCCGACGTGGGCACGGAGGCGCGGCTTCGTCGCCGTAGCCGGCCTGGCTGCGGTGGCGTGGACCCGGAGTGGCCTCTGTTCGTTGGAGTCCTCGGGCGAAAGGAGGTCGTAAACACGGCCATTGTACACCTGGTAGAAGGGAATGATAGGTAGTTCATAATTCGTCGCCATGATATCACGTCGTGCGCTCGGCTAGCGGTTTCTTCCCTAGCCCCCCCTGCTGCGGGTGCCTGTTTTTTTCCGTCACAAACAAACCAATGATGATCATGCCTGGTGTTCTCATGCTGGAGAGCGCGCGGGGTAGGGGGTCAGATGTTTATTCGCTCTGCCAGTCTCCCGCGCAGCCACGAGGAAAACACCAGTGGAAATTCATCAGAGAATATCAATACAACCCGGGTATATATAGGCTAGCAATGTCTTATCCCCCGTGATAGACTGCGCTCGAAGGCGCACACTTGCCTGCATGTACGAGCACTCCACGTCACATCTGCTGGTTGCCGTTGTCGCTCCCGCCATGCACGCCTCTCGAGCAGAGTTCGAAGGCCCCTCAACCCCACCGTGCTCCCCCTCTCTTCCGGCAGCAGCGCCAGGCGATTCCGAGCTGTCGGGTGGGATCACCCGTTCTCCGGGATACACTGATGGCGATGAATTGTTTTCCTTAGAGCTTCGGGTACGAGGGATGTAGACCGTAGGTTCGTCGAGCGGCCAGTGTGCCGCGGATGGCACCTGTGGTAGAGGCAGGCCATCTGAGCAGCTCGATCGACTGCTGCTGGCGCTGTGGCTCGTACCCCCAGCAAACGTGATTGGATCAGAGGTCGAGCTGCCACCGCCACTGCTACTCGTAGAGCGCGTCTGCTGTTCACTCGTAGAACCACACGGGCTAGAAGGAGAGGCTGTGCCTCGCAAATTGGGTTTGGCCTTGCCGGGGCCGTAGATGCCTGGTGCTCGATGCAGCGAGCCTTGTTGTCCACCGCCTGGTGTGGGGGAACCTACTTCTTCTGCACCGCCTTGCCTCACGAGCCTAAAAATATCTTTCACAGCGCGCGGAATCACGCCTGCCCTTTCTCCCCTTGGGACCTCTCCTGTGTTGCTATTGTTGCTTTCCGCCGAGTTTCTTCCCTCCAACGCAGCCTTTTTTGCCGCTCCGTGTTCTTTCGTCCTTGTTCCAGGAGATGCCAGTCCGCCCAAGGTGTTCCCGTTCGCTGTCAACGACGCTGGCCCTGCGTCGTATGTTTCTTGCTTCGGCATATCTCCGACCATGGTGTGTGTCTTCCCGGAGCCAGTCTGGCCGTACGCGAAAACACAGGCGTTCACGCCTGACCAAATACAAAGAAAAAAAGCGAACAGGTGAAAACAAAAGCACTACTGTTTCATAGTTAAATTCAACGTGCTTGCCGACGCCGCCAGTGCTATCGTAACTGTCAGTGCTTTTGGATTGCGGTGATTAGGGGGGAAGTGGGGAACTGTTCGCATTTGCTGGAGACCAATAATGTCGTTTGACAAGGAAACAGCACTATCCAGCTTCCTTTTCACATTCTCTGTTGCTCAACGTAGGATGGGATTTGAGTCAAAGAGTGTACTGCATTACAAAAGCCAAGAATCCAAATTAATTTGGAAGATGAACATGGGACACAAACGATAGGAAACGTTGGTTTACCTGCGAAGGGTAAGCGTACGCATGCTTTGACTTGATCGTACACGTCACCCTGCCCTGCGCTCTCCCCCAGGACGCGATCAAAAGATACCTCCAACTCTTTCCAGCTCTCACGGAGACGGCCCTGGTCTAGCTTGTCCTTGCCACCCTTGACTGGTGAAGGCACAACACGCAATGTTCTTCCGTCTGGGAGTACTGTGGTCGTCCTGCAAAGAGATATATTGGATTGCAGCAGGATAAGAGTACAGGACACCAGGTGTCGTGGTTTACCGATAATCGAATACTTTGCGGGCAATCCGGTACTACACAATGTTGTAGTCGACCACGACTCAACGAGCTCATATATGTATGGTGTTGAGACACGAAGAATTAGTGTCGTAGAGGGGTCCATCGCTCGCGGCCACCGCCCTAGCAATAGAAAACCGTCGTATGTGGAGTGCAGAGCGACAACAGCGTGTCATGTGTTTGAGTGTTTGGTTTTCAAGGAGATGGTGAGACGAGAAGAAAGAGTTGAACGTGTCGTTGCAGCTGCATAGTCGACAGTCGTTTTTATGCCGAAAATATCTGAGCTAGGTTTATCCGAAGAATACATGGTGTGGCGAAGCTCAACTTGCAAGTACCGATCCTGTACCAAGAACTGCAGTATTTGCCGTATGGTTCTCCGAAGATCCAAACCACCATGACGACGTTGTTCGGCAATCAATGATTCCTTGATTAGACGATACCTTGCGGCCGTTTGTTTGATAGGGCGAATCCTGACGATGACTTGAATCCTTCCATTCAAGTGCAACGTCGGTGGAGATGCCTTGCTTAAGGCGGGTGAAGCTGCCGTGCTCGTGGCACCACCCCAGCGGTTTTCCGGCCGATATGTTGTTGCTGCGGAACACCGTTGTAATTGCTTCGCGTTGCGCAGTTGTTCGTCGGTCGGATTTTTCGACGTCCCCCGCCTATACTGAACGGCGTCACTATTATAACCGGAGATTTCGCCATCACTCCGTGCTGCGTTGACGATCATGCACATAAGGGTTCACACATTATTGCCGTTGTGCACTGCCTGCCTCTTCTCACTCGTATCCCGCCACCCGCGCGGCGGGAACTGTACCGGTTCGTCCGGTCAAAAGTTTCGTGCGGCGCAATTAACGCCGGATCTTCGAGTGATCTCCCATCCCCATCTCACGCTCATTGCGTGTGTTCCCTTTTCTTGCGCATTCTACCAAATCACCGGCCGTGAACGTGTACTCAACATGCCTCCCGCCCTAGTCTCCCAGCCAACGGGCCTGTCTCGACACCGCAAAGCTGAGATTGTTCTTGCTCTTCACGTCAACGGCGTTCAATATGAGCATGGCAAAAGCAAGTATACTTCCGAACTAATCTTGCCGCATGTGCTGTTGCAGCTTAGGCGCCATCGTCCCCATCAAGTCATGTATGTATGCAATGCTCCGAGAAAGGAGACTAGGACTCATCAACTGGACTTCGTGTTGTCGTCGTGCAGATGATGTGCAACTGCTTCTTTCGACCATAAAATCGATATTAACACAGCTACAGAGTTATGGCACCAATAACTCCCCCCGCGCAGCTCAAACCGCCGTGGATGGAACACGACCAACTCCGCAAGCTCAACGACAACCCTGCTCTTGAACGGAACTTGTGTGGTTGCCTTCTGCGCGTGCGCAGTATGCGAGTTTTGTGAATGTGGGCCGGCCACGATGCATTGCCCTGACGATGTGTGCGGCTTCATGTGCGACAGCTGCGACGCATACCGGCACCAGAGCGGAGGCAACAAGACCATCGAGTACACTGACCACGAACGTGCTAAGGTGAGCACAAACAAGACTCCATAGGCGTTCTGCCTATGGAAGCGTCTATGAGCATATGCGCGTACGCTGCGTATTCACCTTCTAATGATATGCCTCACCCTTAAAGTGGTCCTGTTTTCGTCATCGGGGTGTTACCGCAGCATGCACCAACAACAAACTTTACCCATGACCCTGACTCCGTGGCCGCACGAGAGCATATATATTCAGTTTGTTGGTAGAGGCACAAGGTATCAAGCATGATTCTACTCCATTGTGGGCGCAGCTTTCACTTCACTCGACGATTTTGAATTCCTAGCAACGGGATGTTCGTGGCAATACATTCTCCTCTGAGCCAGTAGCATCAAAAAGGTTGAACACCTTCGTATGTACATACATACTTTTGTAGATGCATCAAACAAAGTATTTTGTGCCTCACACTCTCTTCAGCGGTACGAAACTGACAAGAATATGGCGGGCTTGCCCCGTCGTCTTTGCTGGGTTCACAAGAATCATTCTACAGTTGCGTCTTTGCATATCATGGAACAAAATATTTGGTGTATTCAAGAGTCTCCTGTTTGCATTGTTTTCTTGTTCTTGTCCAAAAGGTGTCGACTCTCACCATCGCGGCGGCGGCCTTCAGGGTCAAAGGCTTCATGCGCTTCGTGTACCACAGGGGAGCAATGAGGCAGGAAATCCGGAGACAATACAGTCGCTTTTACGATAGCCGGTCCAGAAGACACTACTACAGTTTTCACAGAACTGGAGAGGTACACCTGGCGCTTCCCCCATGTGTTTGCCTGGAATGTATGGGTCGTAGGCATGGTTTTTCTACCCTTGCCTTCGATAGTTCTTCCTCAATCCTATCGGTAGACCGGTCGTGTGCTTGCACATGTCTCTTCAGGCACGAGTCGTAGGGCACCCACATTGTTACCCAGGGGGTGATGTTAGCCTGAACATGGTGCTTCCGTCGTTCGTCCGAAAATCCTCCCTCGTTCACAACCTTTGTCGAGGCACGACAGTCTGGCAAGTTTGAACAGAAGGCTGCCACAGTAGTTTCACTATTATACACCTATCTCGTCAGTGGAAGCATTTGTGTGTGTGCTTGTTTGCTTTCGTCGCGTTTACGCTTAGCGCCAGTCTGCACGTTTTGGTTCGTGTTGGACGCACCAGCCGGGGTCACACAAGAAGCAGGCAAACAGGTTTCATTTTTTCTCCACCTTCCCTCCCGCAGTACTTGCCTTCGTGAGAACGATTCAGCACTCTCCCACCCCTTTTGGGCGAGACGTCAAGACAACGTAGTAGGATTGCGGTTCTACGAGACTACGTGCCCTTAGCGTTCCAAAAACGTGAACAAAAAGATGGTACTACCAAAGCGTCGCTGTCACAAGAACAGAATAATGGTGACCCTGCAGGAGAAAGAGCCGTAGCACGCTAGCCTTCCGTATCCATCCACACGTGCCAACTAAGTGTTGGCTGAACAAAAAAAAAACAAGGTCACCTGGAGCAAGCCGCGCCTGCTGGGAAAGGAAGAGCTCCGCCCCTTTCTCACCGTCAACGAGGCGGCCTTCAAGATGCAGCAGCTGCACCGCAACTGGAAGGCTAGAGAGATAGCGAGGGACGCCATGCGTGTGGCCTGGAACAGGGTGTACTCCCCGCAGGTACGATTGACTGCTCCCCCCCCCCCCCTCTCTTCACTATCAGCCCGTTAGGAGCAGTAGCTACGGCTGGACTAGATGTGTGGTATCCACAAAGCTGAGACACAGAGTTCGTCATGTTTTCTAAAAGAAAATATCGTGTGTTTACTGCGTGGGGTAGGTCCTCTCTCTCGCTGCAGGCGAACTCTTGCCTCACACGTCTCTGCCTGCTCTGACGACATGGGAGAGGGGGGGCTCTGATCCAGATGATACAGCATTGAGTTGCTCATAGGTGTTTCCGACAAAGGGATACTAGATACTAGCAGCAACGAAAAAAAATCGTTAGGAGGTTGGAGGGACCCCTTCGATACGTGTCACTTCAATTTGGGGGCAAGGGTGGTCCTTGAAACCGTGACACTCCATCGAGGCGAGATGTTCAAGGCCAGGCGCCCAATCGCTAGCCAGGGCAGTAGAGTTGACGTGTTCGTCACTTTCGGCTGCCGTTGCTATTGCCATGTACTCGTGCCTCTGTACAGGAGCGGCGGTTTTTCTTTTTCTACAAGGGGGAGAGCCCCCTCGTACTGCCCACGACGGCGAGCTGGACGCAGCCCTGCCGGTGAGTGTGGCAATAGAAGTGAATCAGTGCTGCTGGTGTATAAGCTTTGCCGAATAGAATAGGCATGTTCGACAATTCACATCTCGGAGGCTCGTCTTCCGGAGCTAGAGGTCGCGTCGAGGCCGCTCGTTTGATGGCACAGCGGGAATAACGCCTCGCGGTGACATCGCCGAAAACCCCACCGGCGCTCGGCCTTGTCGTTTCCGAGGGTGTTTCGAGCGATGTGAAGGGGGAGGAATGCTCTATACATCCTTGGCGCGTAAAAACGCCTCCAGGAACTTCCCGGGGCTCGAGAGACCATGCCTCCCCAGCCGTTACTTTGGCGAACAACGGGAGCGGAAGGGTCCCCCGCCAGGGCCCCGGGAGCCGCGTTGGTGGCAGAAATATGGATCACTTCCATTTTTTTCTCTATGAAAATATACAAGATCTTGTGCCACGTTTTTTTCGACATTTTGTTTTGTTGTATCGTTTGTTCGTAACCACGGAATGAGTCCGCGTCAGTCAGTTTGACCAGTACAGGTATATCAGAAGGTACTGAACGGAACCCGGAAGGGTATTTTTTTGAAGGTACTGAGCGGAGACCGGAACGGTTTTAACGTGTGAATACAATCACTGTCACAACGACAAACACAACATCATTTGTTCGACAGTTCGATCGGAGGCATCTGGGTGTGGCGTCCAGTGCTCTCGGAGCACGTGGCGGCCATGAGGATCCAGAACCTGTGGAGGAATTTCGCGGGCCGCAGGGATCTGAGGGAACGAGTGCGACAGGTATACCTTCGTACCGGTGGAAAACAGACGATACGTTACCGAACATGAGACGATGGAAATTATGCGTGCAGCACCTGTAAGGCAGAAAGCTTCACAGCCCGTGTGCTTCGGATTTCTTCAGGTTCTGTCGTAGCCCTTGTATGACGAGAAATATCATCATCGTAATACGCCGAGAATAGTTTGGGGCTTTCTGCTACACTTTCAAAATGATCCGTGCCCCCAGACGTAAAACCGTTAATCTTAGGAGGCCCATATTTTCCCGCCCTCTCGCTGTAGCTCCAAACCAGCCAATACAACGCAAACCGAATATAAATATCGACGAAACATATCGTTGGAAACTGTCTTAGGCTTGAATGAGATAATCATTTCCCTCGGTACATGTACCATCAAGCTCCAACGCCACGATCGCCACTGAATGTTGTCGCAGATGTACTCTATGGAGCACGACCCCATCACCGGAGCGGAGTGCTACCGCAACCTCAAGACCGGGGAAGTTTCGGATCGAAAGCCTTTGAGCCTAGGGTCGGAGCGGTGGGACCAGGACGACATGATGTTGTGGACCGTGGAGGAGGTTTGTGCGTTTTTGAAATTTGGACCGACCGCGCCAGAAGGCTGGGCGACGAAAAACACGTCAGACTTTATTGCCGAATTCCAAGCGCGAACACGCTCTCGAGCCATAGAGTAATACCGGCAGGGGGGACGCAAGGGTTAACGTCCTACTTCTACAGCGAGGTTTGACAGTACCGTATACGACACAAGATAACACACCCCCTGGGCCAATTTTCAAAGCTCGATTTATCAACGGCAGAAAGAATCGCAGCGCCGAAAAGTACGGCGCTGCAGCTGTCTGGTCGAGCGCTCTCCGAAAATGTATCGTTTCGTCTACGCATCCTCTTCGTCGTGGAGTAGTGGAGCTTTGAAAATCGGTCCAGGGAGTGTGCTATCTTGTGCCGTATTCGGTAAAGTTCACGCCCCATGCTGGTTGTGTACTGTTTTTTCTGTAGCCTTCTTCTCCAGCAACCCCTGCTGCTCGTGATTGTCGTCACCAAATGGCGAGGTCTTGAGAATCTCATCCCTGAACAATGTGTAGCTATAATACCTATCGTGTTCTGCTGGTTGCTTCTTTAGGTGGTCATGTTCATCAGGCGCTGTGGGCTAAAGCGCTTCGCCCCGAAGATTCGGCACTTTAACGTGGACGGTGCTCTGCTGATGACCTTCGACCCTGAGGACTTCCTTCTGCTGGGTCAGGCCGACTCGGTCAACGCGAAAAAGGTAAACATGCATACTTCGAAGTACGTCGTTTCGCAAAAAGGGTACTGTAGAGGATTTCCTTCTTTCAAGCCGAATCGGTCAAAACGAAAAAGGTACACCAGGTGTCTCGCAAGTTTTTAAACAATCATAAATACGAACACCGAATAAAGACTACCCGTTCGAGATAATGTACCACAGCCGAGGGCATGCATTGGAGTAGTTATAGTGAGTGGAAGAAAAACACATGTTGTTCTTCTATTTCGGTAGATGGCGTTCCTTAGGCCGACCACGTCCACCCAAGCTATGAATCCAAGGCGGAAATCTGCTTTGGCTCAGTTCGCCGAAAGGATTGCGGTCATTTCGCTTGGCCCCCCTCGACTTATTTTCGACCTCGAGTCAGCAGCCTCGCCTTCAGTAAAGCGTACGCGCGAATCTGTGCCAACTAAAGAGGTTGTCATTGGGATACGCTTTGCGACACTCCACTCACACAGCTTTGGCAGCTGCGTAGATACCACAAGGCGGTGGTCAATTTGGTTTTTGGTTCAAATAAGGTCACTACAAGGTTTTTTGACGCACAATCCACGCCGTTGAGAGCTACTCATTTTTTTTTCCTGCCCTTGGCAATTGGTCAACCAAGAGGCTCCCAGCACGAAGAGCGAAGTGCGGCTCGAAGCTGCACTGGGTGGGGCCATGAAAGGAAACAGATTATGCTTGATGTTTACTGGTAGGCCCTCCACGACAACCAAACGGCCTAGGGGCCTTTCGGCCGGCGCGTCCCCCTGTCGGGGTGCGTGGCCCGCCCTGTTCCGGAAAACGATCGCAACGCGTTGCCAAAAAGAAAAAACTCGGCGGTGTACCTAGCTATGGACACGCCCCCACCCTCTTCCCGTGAACTCACGCCCAACCTTCACGCTTGGAGCGGCGTCGGTTCTGTTCTGGGGTAAACCGCGAGACTCTGTTTGTGGACGTTGTGGTTCTCGGCGCAGATTCTGCTCAACATCGAGAGGAGACCGGCGTTCAGCGGCTACAACAAGAGGGCCAAGGACTTGCTTCGACGAGCGGCCCTCAGGCAGAGGCACTTGGAAGGGACGCAGGTAGGTGGGCGTGATTGTTGTGTTGGTCGAAGAGTAAAGGTGGTGCGACCGTGAACGCATTGATCGTTGATACTGAGGACAAGCACAAATCACTGGTACTGTGCGAGTGTTAAAACCTTGTCTAAAGCTTGTCGATTGCACCCTATTCCTATCAACTCCGGCTTCAACAACTCAACCGTGCCCCGGTCGAAACATAAGTGGTTCCCATGCACAAATCTGTTGTACCACAGTACACCCAAGTACGCTTGACGTGGGTAGGCCGAGAAGAAATCAAGGTGGCCTTCGCCCCCCGCCCACCACGCCGTCGTACGAAGTTCATGCACTCTTCCAGCATACTTGGATCATGAGAACAATGTGGCATTTTTCAATCCTTTCTTCTCGAAATAGAGTGGTGACATGTTTGTATTGTCGCACTTGTTTGTCGGAGTATTGGTGTATTGTCAGAACCCCTTGCAGTCGCACCCCAGGGCTTCTTAGTCTGGCCCATGTTGGACAGTCTGGTGGTTCCTTCTGCTGCTACTGTTATTGTTCTTGTTGCTTTTGACAAGACACGCGTGCCAACCGCCCGCGCACCCGTTAGTTCTTGGCTAACCTGTCCCATCGGGGGGGGCATGTACGGGACAGGCCGAGAAAATCCAGCGATGGTGGCGCGAGATGATGAGGATAACTCTGCGGGAAATCTGGAAGAAAACGCAAAAGACGGCCAAAGCCATAGAGGAGCGAGAGCAGAAGAGAAAAGACAGCGAAATGTACGTCCTACTTTGAGTAAGAGCAGAGCTAGACCGATGTTGTTGTTGACTTTCTTACCAAATGGAGGACTTTTAAGACGTTCCGGTCGCGTCTCGTCGCCCTTACAAGTTAATGTGAAAAACACGATGAACGTGCGACAAAGCGTTTGCGGTGGAGCCTCTCTACTAGCAGTGGCGCAGGAAGTAACGTTTGTTCGCCTCGAAAATAAAAGATACGTGTCCAGTTGGAGCCCTGTACTCCCGCCTGTCTCACCCTCGCCCGCCTCTAGTGGCTAGCAACTCACGAAGGCAGGCGGTCAATTGATTTGGCTCTTGACGTTCCTCGAGTTAGCCGCAGCGGCGAAAACCACCATGTTTTCAAGGAATCCCTGTCCCACATACACAACAGTGAATACTACCGAGAGTCTCCCCTCCCACTCTCGTACGGTCGATTTTACGATCAAAACATTCAAGCACCGCGCCCGGGAACGTTTTTGGCCGGTGGAAAGCACTGATAGGGTTAATGGGGCACGAGTATTAGCAATAACCCTCTGTACAGGTTAGGCCTTCCACCCCACAATAATCAACAACGAATTATTCTTCGTTATTCTAAGCTGTCTCCCCCCGGTCCTTCCCCCATTCTTCTACCCTCTGGAATCATGCTGGGCGAAGTGAAACGCCCGTAGTATTGTGGTGTAATATCTCCCGAGAAGAACAGATAGATGTAGACAAGAAGAATCGGGATTTTCCGGCGTTGAAGACGTTTGCACAGGATCTACCCCATACCCATCAACGACTTCACCACTGCTTGCTATCCCCCCCCCCGTGAGCGCAACCCGGCGTGTGCCGTCCTGGCTTAGTGAGCCTGGTCCGGTGAGAACCCGGCGTGCTCCGTCCCGGCTTTGTAGGGATGCGAGGTCAATGGTCTAACGACTACTGCATGCACGACTATGAGTACCCCCCCCCCCCCCCACTCCTTTCGGCACGATAATGACCAACAAACAAACTGTAATGAACATCAGCTGGTGGACAGAGAAGGTTCGAGATTACTCTGGCTTGGACGCCAGCGTGAAGCTTTACGGGCGAAGGTCGAACATCCTCGGTGTAAGGGGGTGGGGACGTTGGGATACCGTAGGCGATCAGTGGACGCCGACTCCAGAGGAAGTGGGGGCCCCACACAGGAGTCGCATCATGTACAGGTTTGTCATGTGTCTATACTTTTCGCGGTGTTTCGTCCTAATGTCCATCCCGGGCGCCAGTCGCCAGTCTACTGCGAACTCCGGTACAGTTAGCGCCCGCGTCTGTTCAAGAAACGTCGTTTTGGGGTCGAGGCTTAAATTTCTTTTTTTGGTCACCGCCGTCGAGCATTGGTCATTATATTGAGTTAAGTGTAGGATCCACGACTGAGCCCTAATTTCTCAAAGGTTTGTTTCTTAATCGCGGGCGCTAACTGTTGTATGTGTGTTGACGCACCAGCCGTGGGTGAACGTGATAAATTTATCGGATAGGACTCCGCACAGTAGCACAGACGTCGCCTAAACTGCGGTACAGACTTGTACCACCGACACGGGTTCTTTCAAGACCATCGGGGTTTGTCTAGAGCACTTCCGTGGGAAAAAAGCGACACGCGATGGGGACATATTCAATAAATGCAACATCTCAAACTTTCATCTACAACCAATTGGTGGGAGGCGTAATTTAGCACGATAAAGTTCTTCAACAAGGTTCTTCATGTGCCGTAAATGCTCTCTTCGTGAAGAATCATGCTCCCGTTTTGGTGCCCCTCCCCCCCCCCTGTTCCTCAACTCATATATATTCTCAGAGATGCTCCGGATGGAACCGCCGTCCCTGTCCATGCCGTCAAGGAGATGCAGTTCAACGAGGATCAAGCTAGGCGGCGAGCGAATCGAAGTGGGTTAGGGATTGCCATTTAGTAGAGATGGGATCAGATATGCATGGGCAGGACAGAGATGGAGAGTGCGGGAAAAGGAGAAGAATTTTCTCGCTCGAGCCGAGGTGCACCTGCCTGCTGTTAGTTGATGCCGAGATTACCGCCAAAACTGCTCGATGTGAGGGCACGTCGGCTCCACGATTTCGCCAATTTTGCTTGAGACACGTTTGTTTGGCATCGTAACCCTCTCGATCGCTATTGACTGTTTGAGGACATAGCTACAGCGTGGTTGGAAGGGATAGGGGGGATGTCCAGGAATCTACCTCTGTTAAAACGTTAAAACAGTGGTGTAGCATATGGAGGGTTAGGGTTAGGGCATCGGTGCTGGACGTTTTATACGAAAAAGAACGGTTGGCTTGGGCCGTAAATAGCGCCCGTCGGCGGACTCAGGCTCATTTTCTCACCATGGACGAGTTTGGCTTATCACGAGTAGAACGGAGACAAGACGATAAAGCCGGGATTGCATAGGACGATAGGTTAGAGCAAGGCACACCGCAGTCTCCTAGCTATCGGGGGTTGAGGTGGCGGCCAAACTAGAAAAAATGAGGATACAAGATGACCCGACGATGTTGTTGAATACTTGGGTCTTCCCGGCCGATCGAAAGCTCCACAAAAAAGTGGAAAGAGCGAGAAGCGGTTCAACCGGCAAACATGGCGGGGAGAGGGTAGACTACGACGTGTAGCAGTAGAGAGAAAAATACCGAAGACTCCTAGGCAACCCCTGGGAGTTCGTTCAATAGGCTTCGTGAAACCGTCTAGCTTCGTCCTATTCCATACCCCGATCACGTCGGAGGCGTTTTCGTACCCGCGAGGGAAAAGAGGGGTTGGGGGGCTTTTCTGGAAGGAGCCGAACACTGGTTCACCATGGGGCTTATCGTTGAGAGAGACCAGACTGACTTGGCGTCGACAATAGATGGGATGAGCGTCAGGCGAAGCACTCGACCACGACAAAAGATGGGATGAGTGGCCGGCAAATCTGTCCAACACGACAACACATGGGATGAGTGGCAGGCAAACCTGTAGACCACAAGGAAGGGCTGATGATGTAGAGATCCGGTCCCGGCATACTTATCATTGCTCACAGAGGAGACACAGGCGGCGGTGGCGGGCACCTTTACCGGAAACAAAAAAAGGCGTGTGTTGCAGTAAACTATGGACGGAGAAGTTCATCCACACACAAGATTCGTCACCTACTACAACTCGCTTGAGAACCAGCACAAAACAAATACAAGCACCTTACGACGTGCTGCAGTCTACAACTAATTCCGAAGAACAAAGGCAATCAACGTTATGCGCCCACGCAAGATGGGCAGCCACCCCTGTTCAAAAAAGAAGAAAACACAACACCCTACCAACGACTCTCCCCGTTCCCCACAACTGAATCGGGGCAGAATCACGACGGCAACATTCTTTTTTTTGGGGAACACACTTACTCGGGACCCCGGAAGGAAGGCGTCCGCGTCAGTTGGACCAGTATACATACGGACATTAGAAGGTACTGAGCGAAGACCGGAACGGTTGTTATCGTAAAGACAACCACAACAACAACCACAACGACACTGAACGATACGCCGCTGGGAAGCTTGCTCTCTCTTCCTCTGTTTCTATCTCGACCCCACATTTCCAACGTCCCGCTGTTTTTTGACCAAGATTGATAGCCTTTGCTGCTAAGTCCATATCGGTCATCGACTTTCGAAAAATCGTTCGTATCGAAAGGGAGGTATCTTGTGGATTTGCCTCCGCCGCCTCATGTCGCCGAGTGCAAAGCACCAGCAACCCAAACGCCGCACTCGCTCGTTCTGTATATAGAGCGGTTAGCATGCACTAAACTTATCATGTACGGGCCATGCCTACTCCTTGTTAACAAGATCGGCCCCTCAAATCCGTATCCTTCCTGCTGGAGGGGTGTCCCCTCATCCAAATCTCTTCATTCCGGGGGTACAAGGGGTATCATATCGCGCTCTCATCATGGCGGAAAGCGGTCCTGGCTGCTGAGCAGACAGCGCAACTGTCAAAAACATGCACCTTACGTCGTAGCTACTTGTACGGACTGGGGCGACCGTCACCAAGCGCACACGCGAAGAACACCGGCCACCACCGCTTCAAAGAAATCGATCCACAAAGTTAAAGCAGCGCCCCCTTTCAAGCACGAGATAAAGAACGGGCAGGGCAGTCCACACACACACAAAAAACAAGAGGCACAAGAGCACGCACAGCGCGTTGCGTTGGCATTGCGGGGGGGGCAGAGCTCTACACATGAAGGCAACAGCAACTACTACAACCATAGTCAGCGACGGCGACTACAACAACGGCGGAAAACACACAACACCATCAGCGCGCACTGCTCCCACGGGCATCACTCTTTCACAAACAACGTGAAACAACCAGCATCCAAAACCGAGACAAACGATCCCATCCCATTTTCTAGCACGTCCCGTTTCGGCGAGCTGTGGTTCCCCCGCGGGACAAGCAGAAACCCAACACCAAGACTCACTAAACCCTTTTCTTTTGGCTGGCGTAAGATATTTGACTTCTATTCCCCGACACCGGTCGCTATATTATTCTGCCCGAGCTAAATGGAAAAACTGTATTAAAAATCTTGATGGAATGATTAAAAAAATATATGGTTTCCAACTCTTCCGAAAAAAATAGATGACATCGGCGTCGGAATACGCCATTTGGAAGCAAAAACCCCCGAGACCGCTGCGAGCGGCGGCGGCCTGCGACCGCCGCACAAAACGCCAAGCCTCGGTATTATCTCGCTCTCGGACGCTACACCCAATGCTTGACAGAAAAAAGAAGGTGGCTTCTTTCTTGTCATCCAGGTGGGCGAGGCCAAATTATGTCCACACAAGAGCTACAGTTCGGCGATGGCGCCCAGCGAATCCTCCCCACCCATGCCTCTGGATTGGATGTAGCTGGTCCGAAGTCTCCGTCTTGCGACGTCGCAGCCTCCGTCATACAGAGTCGCTTCTTTCAGCGGCCCTGTACGCCAGCGACGGCGCGGCAAGAAAACACTGCTGTCGTTGTCCAACCCAAAGCTCAGCACCTCGCAGGTACTTGGACAAGCCTCCGGTTGGGATAATGCCCCCCAGTGTCGTTGATACGGACCACAAACACCAGTTCCACAAAAAATCAACGTGGGTGTGCACTCAAACACAAACGGCACAGAAGGAAGATCGGAGAAAGCGCGCCCACGTTTGGTTGCCGTACGTACGGAGGGTCAACGACGACGGCGGCGTGTTCAAAGCTCTCCCCACACAAACACATGTGTGACATCGATGCTCGAAAGTTTGCATCCCTACAAGTACAAGCGTTCGTGTTCGTGTTCCATGAGGTATGTACGGTAGGCGACGCAATATATCACACAGCCTAGAGTGATCTTCAAAGCTCGATTACTCCGCGGCAGAACGAGCGGCGAAAGGGCGGCGTTGGAACCGTCTCGTGGAGAGCTTTACTATCCGAAAACGCTTGTACATCCCCTTCGCTCGCGGAATCCTTCGAGATTCGAAAATAGGGCATGGCATGTTATTCGTTCTACACGACGAGCGCTCGTATCATCGCCCCAGCCGAGACACAGCCTCTCTGGGCGCCAGGTAGACCTTGGTCTCTCCCACCCATAGGAAGACCACGCCCATGTAGGCGGTCCTAGGGACCTGCGCCTTTGTGTCGTCCATGATGCTAAGCTGGCGGGCGATCGACATGAACTCCCGCTCGCTCCCGTACTCGACTACCACCTCCTGCTCGTCAACAAAAAAAAAAGGCGATGGGCAGGCGCGACGATCTCTCTAACAATAGCCGGGATTCGTTCGCGATTCCTGGTTCACACGCAGAAAACGACGTCTGAGGAGAACACTGGGTACGGGTGCACGCCTTGGGTATAGCAACGGAAATGGTGGTCTCGACCACCACCTCCTGCTCGACAAAAAAAGTAACTACATAAATATATATGGCCTAGGCCAGGCGCGGCATTTGTTGGCGATGACTGGTTCACACACAGACAACGCGACAAGAAGAGACCTCTCGGTACGGACTTTTCACGGTGCACCTTTGAATAGTATGGTTGAAACTGCCAACTTAGGGGGGGGTTGGCGCCTGATTTGAGCCTCAACGCTTACCACCAGAACGTCTTACACAACGGCAGCAATTTTCCCGTTGTATTCCAAGGGTACCGGATGGAAACTAAATGGAATAGTGTGAATTACCGGCAATTTTTTTACTTACGTCGTTTACCGCCGAAAGCGGCTGTCCCGCCTTATCACCATAGTGCCTACTGGGACGTTATTTTTCAGTGCTACACCCGTTATATTTACCTCACATGTGGAAGAGAGAGAAACAACAACCGTCAACAAGGACAAGACTAAACACTCCATTTTGTCGTCGAATCGTCACCTTTTTGGACGTTGGCCAAATGAAGCTCCCGGTGTGTTAACACACCGAACCAAAATGTATAGTTGAACCGAGCAACAACTCGTTCTTTCCTTTACCAGAAACGAGGTTCCTTGTGTGTGAATAGACCGAACCAACATAAAGATATGAACAAGGATACAAAGAGAACTTTCGCTGACGCTATGGATCCATTGCTAATCTATCTTCGACTCTTTTCTATAGATCGAGATGGGTTCGTTGGGTCATACTGAAAACATAAAAAAAAAACTCAAAAATATGACAAAAAACGACACTTTTTTGCTGCTCACCGAAGACGAGGCACGGCCGGCCTTGACGTTCGCGACCGTCTCAGCCCGGGCACTCCTCAATTCGCCGTCGAGCCAACTCCGGAAGGCGTCGGGCATCAGGTACGACACGTCCATTTCTCGGAACGGGACCTGTGCACCAGTTCATAGTTCAAGGGGGCAAAGAGGTGCTGAAAAGGACAAACCAATGGTACCTTTCGCAGACACGAACAGGGCATTGACGGGGAACTGCTGCGTAGCGAGGTAGTACGATGAAGAGACTTGCGTCACGTGCGACGTTAGGCGTGCGTTGGTTACAGCCCTCATTCCAGGAAAAAGTTGTTTGTCAAGTTCCGAGGATGAAGAAAACGAAAAAAAAAACAGGTGCAAAATCAACATCACTTTGGCGGACACCTGACGTAGGAAACACGTTGACCAGATACAGGGTTCAGCACTGAAGCAAGACCCCGAGCTTCCGCTCGCAAGAACCGTTTCATAATCGGCGGTTTCATCGACTTCTCATTGGCTACGAACACTCGGACCAACCATGATTGGATGACCAAACCACCACTGATCGACCAATCAACACCCAGAATCGATATCACACTTTGACATTCGCCGCGGAAGGCTTCGAGATCATTCTGTCGGGTGTTCTGTGCCCTACTGCAGTGCTCGACACTCGGAGGATGGATCGATCGCACTTCCTTGGCCCGCCAACAACTCACCGCTTCTTCGTTGAGCCTGATGTTGTTCAGGAGTTGGCTGAACTGGTTTCGAGAGGCTCCGGCCTTGTGGAGACAAAAGAGACAAAAAAAAAAAAAAACGAACAAAGATCGGTAGGCCGTGTTACTGCACGGGAGCACTAAAAGCGCACCCGCTTTTGACAGAAGCAGAGCTTTAGCACAGAGCGACCCGTCGATGATTGGATACCACAGTACGCGAAGAGGACCCTGGTCAATCGGTAGGAAGCTAGGATGCGACAGGAACATCAAACTGATTGGGATGCGGCACGGAAGACCGACCCTCTCCCACGAACAGAAAAGCACTTCATACAGAATGCACCACAATCTAAGGACCCTCTCAGGTTACCCTAGGCAGCCCCCCTCCTTATTCCCTCCGTGGGGTAAATCCCAACTACTCGTATTGAGGCTTCGGTGCACAAGGGCGGCGGGGTCCACGTCCGCCAGGGCTTCGCCAAAATCAACCAAAATCAAACAACAACGTTGCGAGTGGTGACCACCTTCACCAAATCCTGAAACAACAACGTTTGGGAGTGGTAGCATAGCGCGTTCCGCACACTTCGCGGTAGAATACCGTAAGGTTGCGAGTCAGCGCACAGGAGTGCGAACGATTGTTGAAAGAGTAATTTCTCCACAACCAGGAGGTTACCACTGTCGAGAAGGGCGGTTTTGGAGATATCTCATCGAGAGCTTTCCTGAGAAGCATCAGTTGGCGCTCGCACCCTCCTGCTTGTGGAGAAATTACGCTATGAAAATCGATCGCACCCCCGAATGCTGACTCGCGAACTTATGGTACCATCAAATATGGTTGGCACCCCCATGGTACGTAAGGTATACGGTATAACACCTTCTGGCCGAAGTGGTAGGTCCGACAGACTTCCGGGCGGATGAACTGACGCCCCTTCCGTCTCCGCGGGTCTCTGAGCCAATCGTCCCAGTAGGCTTCCGGCCAATCAGCGGCAAGCTCGTCCCACACCCTTCGCGGAAGCATCCACCCCAACCCCGGGAAGAAATCGCTCCGGAATAACGCCCTATTATCCTGTGGTAAACGTTTCGTGTGGGCGGGAATCGTTGATAAAGAGGGCCCTCACATCGTGCAACACTCGTGTACAACCCCCCTTACGATTGTTTCGGACGGATAGTCCTGCTGTATTGTTACATAGAAGAATATCGGAGTATATATTACCGAGAGACTCAATCATGACGGAGGAGTGCGGGGTGGGGGGTGAAAAGCGGTTCCGGGGGGTGCTCCAATAGACCAATCTCGGGCCAACAATGCAAACTAGAACCGCCAAATCGATCAACTGATCGCATGAAACACGAACAACTTTCTCCACCCCCAACAGCACTACTTCCTCCACCCCCAACAGTCACAACAAATCAAAACCACAACTCGCCTTGACGTGGGCGGCCTGACCGTTGTCGTTCCAGGCCGAAACCGCCATCAGTGTCTCGTCCGAATCTAGCAGCGGCGCCATCGCCGAAAAGTACTCGAAAAAGTCCGGCGCTGGAATGTGCCGCGGTGGGAGTAGGAGCGGGGGCGGAGGGGTCGGGGAGGGGGAAGGACGTTGGGGAGGAGGGCGTGGGTGCAATATGTACTATTACATACCACAAGATACAAAATACATTCTGTACTTGTACGTCGCTCCCAAGGCATGACAGCCATCGGCCCGCCGCAACAATTGATGTTACACCGGTCTTGGGGGTCTTGGGGTGACGGACTACAAACGCTCTTCAGTTCCAGATACGAGCCGGTTCCGACGCCACCCCGTGTGTCATCACAGTGAAACGGCCGCCAAAAAAACAACAGCCAGCCATGAACCAACCCTAATGATCGGGTGAAAACAACAAGAAATCATCGCGCAACTACTACGACCAATGGTCATCCTACCGGACTGACTTCCCCCTTTCCCTAGACTACCACCTATTATACTGTGCTACGATGACAGTAAACGATGGTGTCCTCGAGCTAGAAGTGTTACGGCCAGGGTCGGGTTGTGGAGGATCTCACCTATCTCAAGGTCTTCCTCGAGAATGATGGCCTTGTCCACTGCTGCCGAGCTGTAGCCGGTCTGAAACAGCTCGTCAAATACCTACGCGCAGTGAACGCGATCATTTTTGCGTCGGGAAAAGACGGCAAGTGGGTGGGAGAGGACGAGCACATTTTGTAGGTTGAGGAGAGATGACGACGAGAGAGGGGGGGGAGGAGAGAGAGAGAGATAGAGAGACAGAGAGAGACAGAGAGACAAACAGACAGAGAGAGACAGAGCCGGACATGGAAAAGACACCGGTAGAGATAGAAAGACAGACTGGCCGACAGAAAAACACGGAGAGAAAGCGAGCCAGCCAGACAGCCAGACAGCCAGACCGCAGATATAGACAGATATCGACAGACAGCCAGACAGACAGACAGACATTAAACAAACAGACAGACAGACCGACAGGCAGATACAAACGACACCAGAACCCACACCAAAAACAGCAAGGGCACACAACAAACACGAGCGAACCCGACCCCAAACACGCACCACCGAAACTACAACAACAAGACGTCGTTACCTGGCTGAGGGCCCACTCATAGTGAGCGGAGAGCTTGAAGTACGGCCGGCTTTCTCGCGGGGCAGGGGTGTGGTGGATGTGAGTCACGTGAGCACGTCCCGCCATCGACGTCTGGGACGCGTAAGCATTGCGGCGGCAGCGGTAACGGTGGAGGGGGATAAGATGGGAGCCTCGGGACACACTTAACGCTGGTTTTGCTCGAGGACAGCACCGATAGCTTGCGTCGAAGTGTATCGATCGAATGGCATGCGAGTCACACAATAGCATACCCGACCATCGGCGCGTGCGACAACCAACCAAATCGCTTCGATTCAAGGACCAACAAACAGAAACCGCAACAACGACGCCCTAACGAGTGCTTCACAACGGTCACCGGGGAGCCAAACATCGAACCGCGCTGCTGTGCGCTAACTTACGCGTTGCGCTCTATTCGCACCACAAGCTTAGACTGCGGTAACAGGAAATTTCCTTGTGGTACCACGCTGGAGTTAAGAAAAGAGAAGAAAATTTCCTTGTGGTAATCTACCACGCTGGAGTTTGGAAATGAAGGAGCAGGGTAGGAATCAGAACCGTCTTGCAACGCGGAGACAACGTCAGAGCAGCACCAACAGGACGCCTCCATTTCCCTCCAAAAGACCTTTGAGGCCCTCCTTGCACCTGTTCCTTTTCGTGATCTCGATGCACTCGTAGAGAACCGAAAAACCCGTCCAATTTCGCACGTCTTCCCCACACACAATTACGCACTTCTGCTGCCGTACCGGTGAGCATATCGGCACGTGTCATAAATAATCTTTGCTATTGTTGCGCGCGGAATACATCGGTGCCACCCAAGGCCACATCAAGAGCTCGCGTTCTTGCATTCATGTTGGTTCCAGACAGGCATCGACAATTTCTCCCATGCGCGACAATAATTTTCTAAGCATCGACCACGCGAACATGGCGAACCTTAGAAAGACATCAGACCAGCAGCGGGGCAAAAAAACACTCACATACTTTTTTTTAACTTTATGTGCCTCCCACACACAAGGCACATCAAGGTTCAAGGAGGTTTGAGCGTTTGATTGTACTTGAAGTAACGCCGTCGACTGATCATCACACGGTCAGCACTCTCACAGCAAAACACCCGCTATGGGAGCCCCGCATGATCAATACTTAAGAGGCCCACGGAACCACCACCCACAACAGACTTGGTTTGTGCAAACATGCCGAAAACCACCAAGGGGGGTCCGTGGATGACCACAACAGATTGTCTGCAAACAGGCTCAAAGAGAAGGCACCCACTCGCGGCAAGCCTTCCCATCCCTAGCCGTGCCGTACAGCAGGAGGCCGGCCTCATTTTGATGCCAAGCTTTACATCGCAGACGACTCATCCGCAGAAGAATAATTTCATCCCAAACTTCATTCACATCGCCGACAACTATTCCGCAGAAAAATCATACAACCATCACCCCAAAGTTCACATCGTCGGTCGCCCCGGTGGTCTAGTTGGTATCCTCGAAACCTTCTAGAGGTCAGGTCAGGTCAGGGGTTCGAATCCCGGCGTAAGCGAGCTTTTCTTGCAAAGTGAGTTTTTCTCTCGCTTCCGCTTCTGGCATAGTGGATAGCGCTAGTTCGTGTGTACACAGAGGGAAGAGAGTGCTGAACTCTTCTCGCATTCCTCGCATCAAAAATCGAAGGCAAAGTACCGCAGGAGGGCAGGGTAGAGAGGGGCTCTTCTGTGTGACCACGGGTTGGAATAAACGGCACTAGTGCTGTGAGCGCTGATTTGAAGTGAAGACAAAAAAAAAAAAAAATCGTCGACAACTATGCCGCGGAAAAAATCACTCCATCCCAAACCATACATCGTTGAGAACCATTTCCCATGAAAAACAAAGGGCACAAGAACAGAGCACGCTCCCGTTCGTGTAGAGGGGTTCTGGCCTCGCTCACCTTGAACCGAGAGATCACCTCCTCCACGGCACTCGAGGATCCGTCCTGCGAAATCACCACCGGGATGGCGAACGATGCCCCCCTCGAACTCCCGGGGTGGTACTCGGCCACCGCGTTCAGCGTCCTCTCGAGGTACTCGGGCCTGCTCCGTAATGAGGGGGGTTGTTGGCGTTGTTAGGGCATTCAGCGATCAGGTTTCATACACGACGATCTCAGGGGAAGCGCCTGACAAGGGTTCGAGATAAGACTTCGGGTTAGGCCTGGCGTCGGGAGGTAGGAAGGTGGTGAACGCTGGCTTGAAAATCTGATGCCGCCGTCGAGCTCATGGCTGATAAATTTCATCACAACCGCAGTAAAACGACACCTACACCGTTACAACAGGGGCTGTGGAAGGAGGTGTAGCGAGATTACGCTAGCGGTGTCGGGGGTAACGATGGAGAAACCCGCGAGCGCACCGGTGTGCGATCCATCGGTTTCGAAAGACAGACTGCTCCGCAACCAAAGAGGGTTGCGAACAAACCGACGACCCACACGTAGCAAGGAAAGCTCTCGGCGAGATAGTTCTTTCCAGGTCCACCGTTTTCGGCATTGGCAGCAGTTTCTTAGTTGTTGAGAAATCGAGCTTAAAACAAAACACGGTTAAACGCCTGTGTTTCCGCCTGCGCATGTTACGACAAACGACGAGTCAGTTCGTTGATGTGCCGTTTGGCAAAATAGCAAGTACCACGGACAACGCAGTCAATTTCTGTCAGGCTGCGGATGCGAAAAGTTCGAAGGCGGGTAGTTGTCGGAATGAGACAAACACGCAAGGGACAAGTAGCCATAACGCCACCGCGACGATACCACCACCTAACGCCCCCCCCCCCCCCCCCCCCCCCCCTAAAAAAAAAAACCTAACTCACGCCCCTTTTTTATTTTATAACCTCAACCC